GTGGACATTAAAGATGCCACGGCACTACTCCAAAGGAGGTGGGAATTTTTCCCAGTTTCTGGCCAACAATCCCCACAAAAAAAGGTCATTCGCTTCATGGCTGTTTGTGGAATATTACTGTGCACAAATTGGCTGCCGTGTCACCTACAAAATGCAGATACGTTCCATTTTCTGGTAAAATCCTGTGAAGCACTTTGAGACCTGCTCCTGACATTGAAAGGTGGTATCTCTAATGCAAGGTTTCTTATTCTTATTATTATACCACCTGGGAATTGGCTGGGAGATGAAACCAACTCTGACCATATGAGATTAGCAAATTAACTCAGAATTACATAGATTGAGCTGCCAGAAGCAATAAATAACATATCTGGTGAAATCCCATTTTTAAAATGTAAAACTATTTAAGTTGGGAAATAAACTCAAACCCAATTTGAATAAGGTATTTTACCATCTAATCCCTAATTAATATGTACATTTTGTAAATTGTTGCAGGCATTAATTACTCATTATTTTAATCAAGAATATTTATAAATGTATGCATAATTACATTTCAGAATGAATTTACAATTGTACAAATTTATTTCAATATTAATTGCTACCTTTCACAATTAATTTGCAATCTGATGAGCTGATTAATGAATTAAGCAATGGATTTTAAGAATTTAATTTGCAAATTTACTCACTCTTTTAAAACTAATTCATTTTTAATTACAAAGTATTGTAGCTGAAAACATTTTAGGCTCCCAAGACGCCCAAAACTGAACTCCTCACATGAAGAATGGTCACTTGGGATAGTGGACACCAGATAATGTTCGTGCTAGTGTTTCACCCAGGATTCACAATCACTCCACTTTACAGTATATTTTGTGAAGCGCTTTGAGATGTCTTGACGATGTGATAAGGCGCTATATCAAATGCAAGAATTATTATTATTTTATTATAATTGTACCCAGAATGAGTCATTGTTTTAAGGAGAGAAGGAAGAGGAGAAAATGCATTTTGAAAGCAGTTCTCGTCTCAACCCTACAATCCAATTCTATGATTCACCAAATCCATTCACACATTGATTCAATGGAATATTGGTCAAGTGACACTGCACATTGCACTATTTCTATAGATATAGCAAGCACAATGTAATGTTTGATCGATTTATGTAACCTTCAAATCAAATATATGGCAACATTCATTTTAACATCAAAGCATTGCAGCAACGTAATGAAACCTGTGTTTATCTCAGCGCATTGCTCTCTCCACTATACAACATCCAGACATTGCATTCCTGCTTATGAGATCCATATTGTTGCTTTCAGGAAAGTTGAAAAAAGGTGCAAGGCTTTAGGGATTAAAGTAAAATAAGTTCCCTAATTTGTGCTCTGGTTGAAATTAGAGTGACTTTAATCAGTTGTACTATTCCAACACAAGAACAATTTACTTTTATAGAGTTAGAATCATTTACGTTGCAGTGGGTGGGGGGACTCCTCAAAGCACTTCACACTGGTGACTAGGCACTTGTGCTGCTAGGTGCAACTGAAGATAGTGGGGGGTGGGGAAAGTATACTGGAAGCATTGTTGAAAACATTGGGTCTAAAGGCAGATTCGCTGAAAGCTCGCCCATGAATGATAGGGTATATTGGGTGATGACATGGAGCAGGCCACTGTTAGATGTTAGCAGCATCAATTGAGCTGCACAATTTGATCTAGTGAAACAATGCCTTTCAGAATTAGGTCTCAGCCTGGCTCAACTGGTAGCACTCTCGCCTCTGAGCCAGAAAGTTGTGATTTCAAGATTTGGGACTTTGAGCTCACAGTCCATGCTGACCCCCCTAGTGCAATGCTGATGGAGCGCCGCATTGTCAGATGTACAGTCTTTTGGATAAGACGTTAATCCAAGGTCCCTATTCAGGCAGAAGTTAAAGATCCCATGGCCACTATTTGAAAAGAGAAAGGAGTTTCTCCTAATGATCTGGCTGACAATCCCTCAGCCAAATGATCATTTACTTCATGGCTGTTTTGGGACATTGCTGTGCCCAAATTGCTGCTGTGTTCTGCTACAAATACACAATTATTATGCTTTGTAGTAAATCCTGTGAAGCGCTTTGAGACTTCCTCCCGGAATGAAAGGTGCTATATCAAATGTAAGGATTATTAAGAAATCTAAAAATTAATTCCTTTCGGTAATTGGAAGCATGTGATGGATATCATGCTGACTTGAAGGTACACGTGTTAAAGCGGCGTTCCTGAGTCTGTGCCATCAACTCACAGATTTCTTAATTTAGAAAGACAGAGAGTGAGTATGCATGTGTGATTGAGTCACATACACAGACTCACAGACACACACAGAAATTGAGAAATCCTCTCAAGCAACATCGCAAAATCCACCCTCAAATTTCAGTGCTCTTGTCAACAGGGGGAGAGACGGTCTAAACAGCAGAGTTATTTTTCCTGCTTATCATCATAATTTTAGCTGAGTAATACTGCTGCCATTGATTAATCAGTAAACTTAAACGTTACACCTCTTCTTCAAGCATCTCCCGAGAGTATAGCTGCTTTGCCACATAAGCAGGTCTCCAGAAGGAGAAGGAGGAAGCAAGATTCAAGCAGTTTCAGCAACAAGCAGGTAATTACTGAATATGTTAAATTACCATGATCAGGAGCTGTCAGAGAAAAGCCTTGAGGAATCGACAAAGCTTCCCAAAAGTTTAATCGAACAGCCGTGCATCTTGCGTAATTGATTTTTTTCCCCCATCACAAAAAAACAGGTTAACACGAGGTAAAGAGAGATAACACGCTCTAAGTGGATCAAGAATCACCACTGGGAAAATCCGAGGACAATTGATGGAATACTAAATTAAATGGCCCATTTACCAAGGCCTGTGAGTGATTGTCAAAATCCTGCGCATATCAACAAAGGTGTACTAAGAATATTTCAATATGTACAGTTGATTTTGAGACCTTTACTTATATTAGACGTTCTTATTAAGCCCATTTGATCTCATCTTTCCAGAATAACAATACTGCATCCTTCCCAAGACAGCAACTAACTGCTGCTTAAAAGAGCTGGTGTCCTGGCCTCTACCATTGTTCCTGGTACTGTCCTGGACCCTGTGTTTGAAGTATACATGGATGTCTGCATTAATAATTTATACTGGATTAATATCGCGGGGGGTGGGGGGGGGTGGGGGTGAGAGATAGTAAGCTGAGTGCCCTTGGGGCTAAACTGGCTCCAACATGACATGCCTAGCAACAAATGTTGGAATTGAGTCAACCAACTGTGACAGTCTCATTAGTAAGGTTCCTGAGCCAGGCGGGTCTGCAATGCTGCTGATGACAGTGTAACAGACAGAAAGGTAAAATTGTCTGATAAAATGGCTTGTGTGCCAGTAGGACACTTGAATCCTCTGGATTTATATCCAGAGGCCAATAGATAAACCTGCTGATTATGCCACCATAACTGGTGGTGTAGGAGGATGTATGGGACCTAGGGAACATGGATATATTCCTTACAGTTGTTCAAAGTGAGGGGGAATGTGGATTGGCAAGTGCATATACACAGGGGCGTACTTGAAAACATTCTCTGCTAATACCTAATTCTATTTCGGAGCAGGGAATGGAGGAGAGCAGACCTGGATCCTAATGTCTTTGTGAGTAAGGAATTGAAGTTCAATATCCCTGTAGCCATGATTGCCTTCCAATGAATACAATTGTGCTGAGCCTACAAGAGAATTTACACGTTCTAAAGGTGATGGAAGTCAGTGCGAGCAGATCCAGTTACTTGGAAGGATCTACAATATATTAGAGGGATTTTAGAAATAGAAGTTGGCGTCGATCCAATTATTGTAGGCTAATACTTTTTTGGGGGGTCAGCCAGGTGTCTGGCACATGCTGAAACATATCACCATGTTTAAGAGTACCCAAACCAAACTGAGAATTCCATGTATCCCACTCAATTTAGCATCAGTGAAATTATGCTAGAAACTTTGTAATTACATTTAAAGTAACAAAGTAGCAGAAACTCAAGGAAACCTGGAATGATTTCTCCCCTGTAGGAAGAAGTTCTTAATTTGGTTTAACGGAATAATGAACTAAACAAGAGTGATAACATTTTTGTCTGACTGAGGACGCAACAAAAAGATAAGCTGCTGACAACAAGAGGAATGTTGTATTATTTAAATAGATCAGCATCAAGTCACAGCTAGAATAAAGGAGGCAAACAGAAAAGGGTAGTGTTACTGAGAAAGAGTAGTGAAGGGAAGAGACAGGGAGAATAAAACTTCTGAGATGGAAGTAACTGGCAAGACAAGCTCAGTAACGAGATCCATTTGATAACAATTTTTCTTAACATGGGAGCTTCAAAGTGTTGATTTCAGATCAGATCACCAACGCAATACATTAATATTATACTAAAATATAGTCAATTTAAATATTTGCATTATGTTCCTGCATTGAATACTGCATTTTACTTTTCAGGATTTCGTAACTGGTTAAGCCTGAAAAGTGCACCAAAAATACCAGTTCTTTTGCACTGTTTTCTTTTAAACACTGATGAAAACTCAGTACTACATGTGTGAATAATCCTCTGGTTATCACGGGCAGAGTGGCTTTCTCACTAAATTCAACACCCTGGTGATTTCACAAATATGAAATATTTTGATAAATCTCATATAGGAAATTATCCACAGGAGAATGATCAAAAAAATGTCAGGACACATTGATAAGTAGTTTGATGACAAGTAGGCTAAGTCTGGTTTATGAAGAGAATAAAAGCTAGCAGCAAAGATAAAACCAGCACAAGAGACAGAAATAAATGAACTCAAAATGGTTTTCACAGACTGTTGTTAGCTGGTTAAAGAACATGCTATTAACAGGTTAGTAGAATTAGAATTGTAACTTGTTGACAAATAAATTCGGTAATTGCTAATAAAATAATGCATTATATGTTAGTTAAAAAAAAGTACAGTGTAGATCAATATAATAAGAGGCATCATATTCAACTGACTCACCATTTGAGGGAACATACAGGTTTCCAGAGCCAGTTTTAACTAAGAAAGAGTTGGGAGCAAACTCCTCATCGGAGTCAGAGTCACGGTTTGGCTGGGTCACATTATTGCCAAGCAACCTTCTTTGGTTCTCATTGACTTCAGAAGCAGGGGGAGGGGAGGGATAATGCTCCACTGGGGTTGATGAAGCAGAAGAGCAAGGCAGGGGAGGACCTGAAAACAAAAAAAACACAAGCAACACAAACAAAAGTTAGGGATTTTTTTTATAAAGTGAGGATAAATCATAAGGGCAACACGGGCTCACATTCTGACAGTTACAGTAGCATTAAGAACAAACAACAGATTGAACTGTTTGTCAAAACACAAAAGAACTAAAAACTAATAATTAAGGAGAAATTCCTCCTGCTACATTTAGTGATTTAACCCTAATGTAAATCCCATCACTGTATAACTGCATTTCAAAGTCATTATTACTGTACTTAGTGGCAAGAGAGAATTATTTCTCCGGTTGTCACATCCATGTATAATAGCTATGAATAAGACCAAATGACAGTGCCACAAAATTCCTCCTTGTCTCATGTTGACCGTCTGTGTAGAAGCATCAAAATGAAATGCAAGAAACTCCTCTGAATGTCAGGGATTTGATCAATATTTCTTCAACTGAGCAGCTTTGATCCATAGGAAAAAGGGCCATTCCCTGTTTCAAAAACAAATGTATAATGCACCCTCCCAAGTGTACATACACATATTTATAGACTGTATACACATAGTATACCCGAAATTCAGACACCTATCAATGTGCTACGAAAATTCTTAAATTACTTTCAACTATCACTGTTTAAGACAATCTTTAAGTATTCAGTCTGAACCATGCATCTAAATTCAACCCAACTCAGTCTTTTCTCCTAATTTGGCCTCAATCTTGGTTGCATGCATACTTTTTTCCAGGATTCAAGGACCAATCATCATGGAAGTTGCTATAGGGAGATATGTAATTTGGAATAAATACTTGGAAACTGAAGAAAAAGAGGCAGTATACATATGCAGATCATATCTACATCCACTCTCTCCTCTTTGCATAATTTCCGAGTCAAGAAAAGTTAGGCCTCAGTTAGATTATTGTGCCCAGTTCTAGGCACCACACTATAGGAAGGATGTTAAGGCATTGGAAAGAATGCAGAGGAGATTTACAAGGATGGTACCAGGAATGAGGGACCTTGATTATGAGGAAAGGCTAGAGAGGCTGGGATTATTCTCATTGGAGCAGAGAAGGTTACGAGGAGACCTAATAGAGGTCTTCAAAATCATGAGGGGATTTGATAGGTTAGAAAGGGAAAAACTGTTTCCACTGGTGGGTGTGTCGGTGACTCGAGGTCACAGATTCAAAATAGTATCTAAAAGAAGCAGAGGGGAAGTGAGAAGAAATTTTTTCATGCAGCGAGTTGTTTGAATCTGGAACGCATTGCCTGAAAGCATGGTGGAGGCCGATTTGATAACTACTTTTAAAAAGCGGTGGACGGGTATTTGAGGAGGACGGGTTTGCAGGGTTATGGGGAAAGGCTGGAGAGTGGGATTGACATTACATTGCTCTTTTCAAAGAGCTGGCACAGACTCGATGGGCCGAATGGCCTCTTTTTGTGTTGTACGATTCTATGATTCTAAGCTTGGCAAGTAATCTGTTCCCAGGTCTCTACCAGTGCAATTCTTCCTGCAATGACCTTACCTATACAATGACCGTATTTCACTACTCCTTCACTAATATCCTCAACATCCTTGTCCCCATCACCTCTTGTACTGCCTCCTACTCCTGCAAGTCCCCCTGGAATAACACCTGAGATTGCCCTGAACAAAGTCACAAATGATATTCTCTCCATCTATGACCAGGGCTCTCTCTGCCTCCTCGTCCTTTTTGACATCTTTGCCACTTTCGATACTATTCTTTCCCCCCATCTTTCCGCTCAGCTCCACCTTCATGATTCTGTTCTTTCCTGGTTTCATTCTTTTCTATCCCAAAGACTCCATTTCATATTTGCCAATGGCTTCTCCTCCTCTTCCCGCAATGTCAAGTACAGAGTTCCTCAGGGCTCTATTCTCGGTTCTCTCCTCTAATATCTACATGCTCACACTCTGTGATGTTTCTTGATAACCTATTCCAAATCACAGAGGTAAAATATGCAACATTTTATTTGAATGTGATAATTATTACTGGGTGATAATTCTCCACTTGCAATTATTATATGACTCCCCTTCCCCCAGCTGTGTAAAGCATTTTGAGATATCCTTCTTAGGTGAAAGGCACTATATAAATGTAAATTGTGGTGTATTGTATAACATTTTGCTATTACTGAAGATATTTATCAGTTATTGAGCAATATATATTTTACCCTTAAGAGTAAAAGTTGTATTGAATCACCAATAGGAGTGTGTGCAGTCTCTCCATTGATAAATTTATATAATTCATGGAAAACTTCAAAATAAAATTCAAACCTGCTTGCACATGTGCTTGCATGTGTGCATGCATGTGTTCATATGTGTGGAGTGGCGAGCAAAAACATTGAAGATTGCAAGATTGTAAAGGACATATGAAGCACTATTTGCAAATCTGAGTAATGAATAATTCTAGAAGAGTGTGAATAAGATCATTATTATAATCACGAAATATGGGGTTGTTTGCAATTTTGTGATAATAGTATCAGACCTACTATAAATATGTAATAATTGTCCTCTCACAATAGTGACAAAGCTTCTGGTTTAAATCAGTTACTGTGTTGAGATTTGCATTATCTCAGCAAGCTCTGACTTCAGATCAGTGGATTTTGTGGCATAATATAAATCTCCAATAATACCCACAAATGCATAAAGATTAACTCTAACCAACAGCTTGTAGCACAAGATCCTAATTAGCATCATTATGTTAGGAAACATTCCCTTGCTACTGTTGCACTATATAAACATAGTTGAAAAATCTTTGATAATTCTACATGCAGCTTTTTGTTCTTAAATAATGTTACTTTTGAAAATGTTAGTGCTGAGATATTCACATTTATTTTTACAGTGGGTTTATTTAGACATTGCTAATTTATATGTTCCAAGAAAGATCCTCAAAGCAATCTACTTGCTGCAGAATAACTCAAGAGAACGTGCTTTAAAATCCAGTAAGGATGTGACATGGAGGCAAGGCTGTCAAAGTGTTGGTCTGTTTCCAAACTCATGCAGGGCATTCCCTTTTCTTTTTTAAACTCAGTGTCTGTGGAGTTGGTACTCAGCACATAATGGAACGTGCGAGATAGACATGAAAGGGGTTGATTACATACCACAAAAAATATGCCGAGTGATGTCTAGCTGCTTAACTCATAAGGTCAAAAATCAATTGAATCATACAAGCCAAATCCAATTTTTACCAAATACTTCAGTAAAACTAGCAAAAAGCAACCCTTGGAATGCAGATAGGTCCAGAGAAATTCCTGTCACCTTAGGTTCCAGTTCACATGCCATAAAGTTAAAATCAGTATAAATATTACAATGATAAATTTGTACCAGTGTTAGAAGGAGTTTTAGACCTGGCATTATTGGTATGTCAACTCTGTAAAACTAAATTGAGTATTTGGAACCTGAATTTTCTTAAAAGAAATGAGCAGTTTGATTTGTTTGCTTACAAAGTATATGGTAAATACACCTTACATTAAATCCTATGAATCACTTTGAGATGTCCTCCTGACCTGAAACGCACTATATCAAATGAGGGGATAATTATTCTTATTGTTGCACCTTCTCCTTTTTCCATCTGCCCCCCCCCATCGACAATAACATTAACAATAAGAATAATAACAATAATCCTTACCTTTATTTCATGGTAGCACAGCATCTCGAAGTGCTTCACGGGATTTGCTTTAAAGTGTAATAACTATGCATTTGTAGACTAAATAATTGTAATAACTGTATTTAGTTAAGCACCTCATCAGTTTGCAGTATCTTAAAGTGATTGATTAAGTGTGGAGACTTGTTATTTAAATAAATGCAACAGTATGCCACAAACAGCAATGAGATGAATGAGCAATTAATCATTCTTGGCAACTTTGGGTGAGGGAAGAATATCAGCTGAGAGATTGGGAGAACTCCCTGCTCTTCTTTAAATTAGTGCCATGAGATATCATTGATATCCATTTGAAGAAGAGGTTGGAAACTTGGTGTAGAAATCAATTGAAATATTCGAGAGGGAGGTAGATTAATTTGGTAGCCAGGGGTATTAAAGGAATCATAATAAAATAACGATTATAATAATATTTCTTTGCATTTGATATAACGGCTTTCACTTTAGGAGGACATCTCGAAGGACTTCACATGATCTACTGTAAAGTGTATCATGACTTCTTCTTTTGTAGCTGAATGTGGCAGCTAATTTCCAAACAGCCATATCCCACAAGCAGCAATGAAGTAAATGACCAATTTTATCCGGGGGATTGTTAACCAGGAAACTGAGAGAAACTCCTTTCTCTTTTTGAATAATGCCAAGGGATCTTTAACGTCTGCCTGAAAGACAGTCGGAACCTCAGTTTAAGATCTCACCCAAAGGATGGCACCTCCAACAATCAGCCACACAACCCAGCACTTCATTGAGGTGTCAGCCTAGCTGCCATGAGTTTGAAATCCCGATGTGGGGCTTAATCAACATCCTTCTGACTTGAAGTGAGAGTCCTAGCTGCTGAGCCAAGATGACTATTACCCTTTAACTTAGTCTAAGCAATCTTACTGTCACCCTCAAAATACACACAGTCACACCACTTTACAATATATCCTGTGAAACGCTTTGAGATGTGATAAGGGCTAAATCAAATCCAAGTATCATCATTTCTTGTAATTTTTTGAGCCCCTAAAAGATTACATTCAATAGAAATCAATTTCATCAATAGAAATCTATGTCAAAACCTGTAAGAGGTTCTTTCAATGAGTATTATCGTGAGCAGCCCTTGAAGCCTGAGTGTGCCTGGATGAGCAACCTCATTCACAATGCACAGAAGGTTAAACAAAACAAATGAGTTAAAATGAAGAAATATCAGAGGTAAATTCCACAGAGGTCAAATGGTTTTCTAGATTGCTAACCCGGTAGAATTCTGTGACACTCTTCAGTGGTGGTCAATGGGATGTCTTCTCACTATGTTTGTGCTATCAAGTGTTACATTGGAAGATGCTGTTTAAGTAAATGCTGTATATAC